TTCCCCTTTCAGATCCTTGAGGGAAAGCTACTTGATCAAACATCTGATAGTCACAAATTCAAACCCGTGCTTCAGAATCCCAGCACAAAGTAAAAGGAAAAAACAGCACCTTTAATTATACCTGTCAAGAACTGTGAACACGTGATGTATAAAATCTTTACCAAGGCAACTCGACACCTGTGTTCTCTGGGCTTCAACCCCTGTTGTTCATGTGCTCTTTACACACACAGGCCTTCCACTCAGTGCACTGGGAATTCTTAGTGTGTAAAGGGAGAGGTTTTCCAGTCTGCAGGCTGAAACAGTATAAAAAAAATAAAGTCCATGACTTTTGAAGAAATCACCAGGGCCAGGATTAAGTGAATCTTTGGTCTACTGCTTTTCCAGAGATTAACAAACCCCTTATTAGGCTGTAGTTCAAACTGCATCAGTTCAAAGTTGTTGCCACTTAAAAGAAACTCAAATATTGCCTCTCATCCTGACCTGTTCCATATTTATATTGCTGAGTTGTCTAAATTGGAATCCCAGTTAATTACAAATTCAACTTTTATCCCTGTCTTGAAAATGGCAAGTTATTATACCTTATTTATATTCTATTCAGGTTCTAGGAGCAATTGGCTTTTTGTTTTGGTGTTTCCTTGGATTTTATTATGTATTGCTAGATGGGACAATTTTAGCTCAACATTTAGTTTGTTAGAAACAAAGATAAGAAATTCTAGGACTGTACTTTTTATTTAAATATTGCTTGTATCTATTATTATTAATTCTAACAGAATATAATATATATTTATTCCACATATATATTATCAAAATGTATTTGTTACAAATTTAGGTCCTTTTCGTACCATGTGTTATGAATTCGGTAAGAGACTTCTAGCAGAGGACCTAGCTTCACTGAACTGATCCTCATATGATATGTATAACCCTGCTTTCAGTGTTTTTTTTTTTTTTTTATGTTTTTATGTTTTCTATATTTTGGTTGGTAAACTCCAGAGAAATGTAATCTTTCTCTACCTACACTGATGTGCTATCATAAAAAGAAGTCTATTTGGTATATTACAGCTTAGAGCTTTCCAAAACCAAATTATAATACATTTCAGCATATATACAAATATATATGTCACACAAAGTTTAGATCAGTTTCCCCAAATATAAACTGAATACTCTTGGTATTCTAAGACCAAAGTATTCTCCCTAAAATTAGGTATCAGAAACCAGTGATACCTAATACCAACTTCATTACACATATTCATGTAAGTAAATAAGCAATGAGATAACATGTTTCAGAAACTATCATTACTAGAAAATGATCTATTCACTTATGCAGACTATCATTTTTGACTTATGGTAAATCTAGGAAAATAAGTCAATTTTACTTTATGGGATTAATAAACTCAAACCAAACTCACTACTGTCAAGTCGATTCGACTCATAGCGACCCCTCCTTGGGTTTCCAAGGCAGTATCTCTATGGAAGCAGATTACCTAGTCTTCTTAGTATGGGATGAATGTTGTTGTTGTTGTTGTTGTTATTTGCTGTCGAGTCGGCCCCGACTCATAGCAAACAATAATTATTAGGGCACTTAAATATCTGAAGCATGAAAATATCCCTGACAAAAAAAATAAACTCATAGCTGAAATATTCGAGATAGGCGATTAAAACCAAAGCTAATATTTGCATATCTCCTTTTCTCAAATGAAGAAATTAATTCCCCAAGATGCAATAAATTTGACATTTCAGACAGTCCCTAAAATTAGAAATTTTTAAATCTCATTTTAGAAACTGTCTTCTTGAAAATAAAGCAAAATCAGTTGGAACTACCCTGCACATTTTATTGTGTCCTGTTGGATAACATTATTGTCAATACTAAGTTCTGCTTGCTCTCCACAGCAAGTCACCCACCAAAGGACAAACAGTAAGGAAACTGGAAGATATACCAATTTCAACAGTGTCCTGCTGTGGTGACAGATTCCCATCCTTCAAAACATATCATTTTTTTACTAGAGAGGCTTGGGTGTGAGGACTCTGAATGCTGTGTAAAATAGGTTTACAAAAGAAAGAAGCATGATGAAAGGGAATGAATGGAGATTGTGTGAGTATTATTCAGTTTGAAAGAGGTAGTTTCCATTTTTATAAGAAAAAATTAATGAAACATATATTTTAGTTATTGTTTAACTTTAAAGCTATTCAGGCAAAGCCACAAGATTCTCATAAAGGGAAATTTAGACCCTTGTAATGAGAAAATGGTCATTTCAATACATTATATGACTGGGAGGCTTAAGGTGAGTATGTTTTAATTTAGCAGTAATTGTTTGGTTAAAATTAAAATTATCTATACATTTTCACATCAATGCAAATATTATTATGGTGTTACAGAAGCAACTATCAAAGGAACAGATGTATTCTATTGGTGTGTTCTAGAAGTCTTTGTTATTTGATGCCTCACTTGCATAAGGTTAAGTGCTGATAAATGTATTCCAAGTTGTTTATCAAAGTGAAGGAGCATTCATCACAACTATGACATCTAAGGACAGATTACATGTCACAGTAGCCGTGCATACAAATGACCAGCAGAGTAGCCTGTTTTCATCAGTAAAATTTCTAACTTGTTGATATTTAAGTCTTACCTTAAAGCTTTGATCAGAGTTAGCCATTCAAGAAAATTAGGCCCTGTGCGATTCTCTGTGTTCACTGAAGTCAGAGGTTATGAAAAAAATAATGATAAAGCACCACAAATTGTACTAATGCTCTTTATTGTTAAAAATCATATTAGACTCACTGGCATGCCCAAAATCATAAGAAAATAAAGATATATGAGGTTGCTTTTACTGGCCAATCTTTATATCAAAAACAAATTAGATGTTGAAAGTTAAAGGGAAGAAAACCGTGCCGACTCTTTTTCGGTGAGTCTCTTTATCATGGTAAATTTTCATTCTTTTTCTTGGTCAGATTGGCAGCCAGTGGGGCATATTTTTCTAAACTGTTGCCTTGTATGATATTAAGACAAATACACAGAGTATACTTCAGTGAGGGAAAACTTGAACCTTCTTGTTGGAGAATTTACATTTTGATTCTTTGCCTTCTAAAATAGCACATCTGCAGGGAGATAATGAGCTTAAATTACAATTGACTTTGGAAAGAATAACAGACTTTTGTGCTTCTTCAATCATGTAATCAATAGGGAATTCACTAGTTATGAACTACCACTCTCTCTTAAGACAATTCTAAGATCTTAATGCAAAATCTAGCATTCAAGGGCTTTTTAAGCATTCAAGGCTGTCTCTAAAGAACTTGGCTAGAGATGGATCACACCAATTTCCAAATCCAGTTTTCAACAGTAGCAAATCAAAGAGATGTTGTCTCATTTCATTTTACTCAGCTGTGCCTATAGGACTCCAAACCATTGGAATATTTGTCTGCATTATTTTAAACATCTATAGATATTTATGGATGTGTGAATAATGCCCAAATCTCTCATATTTAGCTAATTTGTGTTTGTCATACAGACAAAATCTGTCAGTAAGGCCAGAGTTAGACAACACTGGGAAGTGAAAATCAGTGCTCTGAAGATTGAG